AAAAAATGGCTGCTATGTATGGCTCAAATTCTGGTAAAGCAGCATGTATATGCATGAACGTTTACAAAGATGTTTTAATACGTTTAACGAAGGTAACGAGCATAGAACCCTATGAGCGTCAAGAGCTACGATGGTTAAAATAACTCTCGATAACTCTTTTATTGTAATGAAGCATGCAAGTAAATATTGACAACCTCCACAAAATAATTAACTCTTCATCGTGAAGCGTAAGAATGGCGAAATAAAATCTAAGGTCTTCGTGAAAAAAATAAAGCCATGAAAAAATGAGGTAGCTGAAGGGAAATATGGGAAAAGGAAAACAATTAGTCTATTATCAGATGGATACAAATCCTGTTGAGCAGATCAAATGAATGTATGGGATTACCCGCTTCCGTCTATTTTCTTCCTCTAGTTTTAAAAGCTTGATTTTGTCGTTTATCCTTTTTGTGCTTATCTGGTCCGTAAGTATTCTTCTGCCAATAGCTAATTTCCCCTTCACCTTCTTCTGCAGAACTCCCTTCCTCATCGGATTCTTCCGAGTCAGAGTCAGCAGCAACAGCATTACGAGGGGGAAGGTTAGGATTGCCGCGACCAGTAAACATATAATCTGAATCTGAATCAGAGCCAGAATCATCATCATCGCCAGAGGCTTCGTCCTTTGGTGTAATAAATGCGGCATTTTCATCGAAGTGTATATCATTGTTGTCATCAACTTGCACATTCTCGGGTATTTCGCCTAAAATAGGATTAACTAGTCAAGTCAAGAGACGTACCGAGGGCTTTCAATGTCCTAGCCTCATCATTGGGGTATTTTAGAATGACATCTGCCTTTTTATCCTGATAATCGCGGAGCCCAACAAGAATGATATCTCCGGCATTTATCCAAACCTAATTGAAATGGAAAGTATTAAAAATAAATAGAAATAAATGTAGAGTAGATAAACGCAAATACCTTTTTGCGCAATTTGCCTCGTATATGGCATAAACGCTTGACGTCATCAAAGCAATATGCTTCAAGTCTGCCGTTCCCAAGAAGACGCTCCACTCTAGCATATTCTTTAGGATAAAAAGGGAATATTTAAGTGGCAAATATTATTGGAGAAGTGACTTAGAGTGATTAAGTCTTACGTACCCTGTCCCTCTTCTTTATACATTAAATCCCTCTTTACCCCTTCATTTTCATTTTTTCCCCTTCTTCTATTTTTTCCTCCTTTTCCTAAAGAGAAAACTTACTAAAACAAGCTTTACAACCTTTATTCTTTGGCATTTTGCAGGAAGGGACGCAGAGAAGGTAAGGCCTAGGGAATGAAAAAAGGCTGACCAGAACAAAAGAAGCATTCAAAGTATTCGAGTTAATTTTTTT